GGGGCGGGGCGTGGAGGCGGAGGGGCGGCCGGGGCGGTGCGCAACGGGGTGGCCGGAGGCGGGCAGGGTGGCCGGAGCGCGGCCGGAGGCGGGCGGCAGGGCGGCGGATCTGGGGAGGGAGCTGAAAACTCCCTTCCGCGCGAAAGCGAAGAGGAAACCGGGTCGACGAGGGGTTGGGCTGCCAACCCCTGTTTCTACAGGCTGGGAAGGAGTATAGGGGTTGAGCCTCTAAAAAAATTAAGGGTTTAAGGGTTAAGGGGTTCTATTCTTTGCGATTTTTTTGTCTCAACCCGTAAAAAAGCGGTTATTTTTGAGGGTTTGAGGGTTTAGGAGTACTACTAGTAATGCTCTAAATCAGAGTAGCGCGTATGGGAGTGGAGGCATCCAAGTGCACTTACATGCGGGTGACGCGGTTGTTATTGCGGTCGCAGGTGATGTGGGACCAGGTGCAGGCGTCCACCAGGTTCGGGTCCCAGTTCTTCAACTCGCCATTGGGGTCCTGTAGGCCTCTCCTCAGGGCCGAGAGCGCGTCCACGTCCTGGTTCGCCGCCACTGGCTTCAGCAGAAGGGTCGACGCCAAGGTCGCAAGGAAGATTGCCACCAGGGGCAGGCCTGATTCGGCCGCCGTGGGTGCCATAGGTGAAAGGCAGGGCAAGTGTTGATGTGATGTGATGTGATGTGGCAGCCTGCGATGTTTTGCTTTGATGAACGGGAGTCGGTTTGTGTGAAGGGTTTTAAAGAGGAAGCGCAGCCGCGGGAGTGGTGGTGTGTGTGGGGGAACGACGAGTAGCGTGCCACCGGCCACAGTTTTTCTTGGAAATCAGTGGCACCACCCTAAGGCTACTACAGATACACCGTATCTTAAGATTTCATCTTAAGCACTAAATATATATAATAACTCTATCAATGCACTATATCTTAGTGTTACACTTACATGTACACTAGGCTTCATTTAATATAGCTTATACTAGCATCTTAACATTGTAGTAGTATATTTGAGATATAGTTCTTTTTAACAATATTTGAGATATAGTTCATCGGTATAGTTGTATCTATAGAGTCATTTAATATATTTTTTTGCGAGGGTATAGAGTCATTTAATGTTAAAGACATGACTAAGGTAGTATGATGCATGCATTGGTAGAGTTATATCTACACACTCATCTAATGCGGAAGATATAATCTTGGTATGATGCATGCATTGGTAGAGCTATATGAATACGCTCATTTAATGCTTAAGATATAATCTTAAGATATGATGCACGCATTGGTAGAGTTATACCTATACACTAATTTTTTTGCTAAAGATATAATTTCAAGAAATGATGCGTTGGGAGTGCAATAAAATAAACATCGCCAATATTTTTTCAGTCACTCACGACCATTATTTTCTTATGTTAAAAATATTGCCCTCGCTGATTTATTTTACGGAAATACTTCCGCTCAACCGAATGATTTTCTAGCGTCGTCCATCACCTCAGCAACTGTTAGATTTGCCTTTTATCGGGCGGCCCGTAGCAACGCACAGCTTTGCAACGTGGCCCTTGTGACAATCTCTTCGAGCGCAACCAGGCCCGAAGCCAAGGGCCCCCAGGTCGTGCTGTGCAGCCCAGTAATATCGTGGAGAAGGGCCTCGTCCAAAACAATATGCAGGTAGAAAGCAGCCCGAGGGAAACACAGTACGCACTGAAAGTAGGCCTCGCATCACGGCGGGATCAATGCATCAAATCATGCGACCCCTAAAAAATCAATCCCTGCGTACCCGGCTAGGCGTTTGATCCTCGCTCCAGTCGTGCGCCGCCGCCTCATTTTTCTGGGCTTCACCGATCGAACGCCTACCCCGACTCGGCCATGCCACCCTCCCTGCTGGAGACACCCCATCGCAGATTTGCCGGCTCTCCACCCCGAGAGGCGACTGCATCAGGATCACGTTCACTACCACCGCAAATTGATTCCAGGCCATTGCCTTTCACCCTTCCCGTTCAAGATTGGAAGAAATATGAATAGCTAGCAGATTAGAGAGAATCAAAGAAGGTATGGCTCTAATAGTATAGGCACTCCGTTTATTGAGTAAAACGTTCAGTATTTACTTCTTTGTTGTTGCAATATGGCCATTGAAAATTTATTAATTGGACACGGTTTAGCAATAGATATTATTTATTCAGATTTATGAGTCGCGGTTGCCCTTTGATCCTTCTGCTTGATCCTTGGAAGAAATATAATCAGATGATTAGGGAGAATCTGAGAAGGTACGGCTCTCATAACATATTCTCTCATAACATATTCCTGCACTTTTGCTATGATGATTGACAAATATTTATTATGATAAAACGATTGGTAAAATGACCAATATTTATAAATGACGATCAATATTACTTCTTCGTTTTGTGGAAATATGACCATTAATAATTGATTGATGGGACACAATTAGGGATAGATAATATTCAGATTTATGAGTTGGGGGTTATGATTTGATACATATATTAAGAGGCCCCGGGTTCTAGTTTCGCCCCGGGCCCCCAAAATCTCAGGACCGGCCCTGAGCGCAACAAGAGGTCACTTGCAGACCGACGAGGGGAGAGTAGGGCGGTTGCCGGCGTTCAGCGGCGCCATGGCCAGGCGCGACAACGAGCCAAGCTCGGGCGGTTTCCAAAATCTGTAGAGGAGAGAGGAGGGTGATAGACTAGGAGGGAGAGGAGAAGAAGAAGGAGGGGCGAAAGGAGAATGGTGTGGCAACATGCTGCTCCAGCGAGCTCGCCGGCCGACAGAGCAGGCGGCAGAGGTTGGCGGAGCTCAAGGTGGACGAGCTTGTGGTTGGCGGCGACGCAGGTCCCTCGACGGCAACCTCCCAGTCTTAGATCCACGAGCGCAGATGCTTTTTACAACAAATGTCTTGTTGAAATTGCAACAAGGATCCTACTGCAATTGCAAGAAGGGCCTTGTTGCAATGATGACGGATATAGCCACGAGATGAACATGCTTTTGCAACAAAGGTCTGGTTGCAACTGCAACAAGGCTCTTGATGCAATGGCGATGTTGATGACCATGAGTCGGAGATGATTCAGCAACATGGGCCATGTTGTACTTGCAAGAACGCTCTTATTGCAATGAGGGAAACGGCAAATAGAAATGCACAATACAATCGCATAATGAGCATCATAGACCGGACGGCTCGGGACATGGCCAACCTATTCAATAGATCAGCCGGCCAACACATAGCACGCCCCAATTATTTTGTGCAACTCTATACATGTCAAACATTGATGTTTCATGCTCGTAGTTGTGGGTTAAAGCTATACGTGAAATCGCCACACAGAGTAGGTCATCTTTTCTCTTTGATATTCTTGTGCCTACAATTCTCACAATTTCTCGTGCCTACGTGAAATGGCGATTATGTACACATATTCTCATGTAGATAACTATTTCAGCCTACAAGTCCTCTTAGAATCTCACATAGTACCTCGCTAGCACTAAATGTCGTAGAATTATGTGCATGATTTGTTTCTATAAACACCCAGTGGGTTTTTACTTAGCAAAAATGTTCCATGCACAAGAAAAGCCGATGCATATTTTCTTTTTCGTACTCAGTGATGGTTGGCCACCCACTTTTGGACACTCTTTATGTTTTGTAACTGTTGGCCTAATATAGCATGGTTATCGATTGGGTGAGATGTTTGTTGTCCCATAGTTAGATTCACGTCTGAACATGAGCTCTCTCAGCGATTTCGAATTTCTGGCCGTTGGATTTCTCCCTTGATGCGATTTGGGCCGTCGGATCTGCCCCTGGGATGAGTTGGGCCGTTGGATAAAATCGTAGATGGAGCAATGAATAGTAGGTTTGTTTTTCCACTTCGGGATTTTAGTTAATTGTCACTTACAAGTGGGGTCCGACGCTCATGAGCCGGGACTGTCAGCAGCTTGGGTGCGTAGACACCCGGTGCGGGTGGCTCGCGGTCAAAATTGCATGCCACCGCCTGTAATTCCCTAATCCCATCGAGGGCATTAGTGGGATTTCGCGTCCTTACCCCTGTGTGGTGATCTATGGGTGGGTCGTGTCTGCATCAAGGAGAGGAGGGCACCGATTGGGTGAGAACCCTAGCCTCCATCTCCTTCACGCCCCTTCCCTTCGCTCCGACAGCCGTCGTCGCGCTCCCGTTCGGTCCTCTCTCCCATCACCGAGCTCGCCTCCACCGCTGCTCTCCCCGTCCCTCTCGCGCGGCCAGCCCCTTCGCCTCCACTGGACATGGTGATAGCGAGTGGCAGCATGAGGAGCAAGCCGATGACTTGGCAGTGCCAGACAAGGGTCACGCCGAGCACGTCCCGGAGCACGGCAGCCTCTACGCGTGGGACGGCCTGCGTGTCACCGCTGTCACCACTGAAGCAGGGCTAAAGGCAGCGCCCCGTGTGTCGCCATCACCGGGAGAAGGGACAGCCGCCGAGACGCACGTTCACGTCGCCATTGTCATCGTCCTTCAGGTGCTCCTCCTCCCATCTCAGCTAGGGTTCCTCTCCTTCCTCTCACCTCTCTCTTTCCCTCCATATCTCCCTCCACCGTCACCATCGTCGTCACCATCCACGCGAGGAGCACACAGACGACTAATTCGTCCAGATCTGAGGCGGTGTGGTCTCACATCACCCCCTCCCCTTCAAGAACATTGTGCCCTCCCATCTGCTTATCGTTGGTGGTGCTTGAATCTGCCAGTGGCGAGTCATCCCTTCTCCACTATCATCTCTGAATTTTTGTGTGCAATTCATTCATGCATTGGTCTTTGCTCACTTGGTGTGGAATGTGTAGTTGTCCTTGTGTCTTCATACGGTAGTGATGTACTAGCGATGGGTTTTAGTTGTTTATTAGATTGACAAGAGGAAATGTTCTGATGTTTGGTGATGTTGAGGAAAATTGCAAAGAAATTTAGGGCATTGTTTTGGTTTAAGATTCATTGCTATATCCATGCATAAGTGAGTACTTTCCTAAAGCTTGCCTAACTTCACATAAAACCACCTGGGCAGTACAGATTTATAATGTACTAATCAATCTGCTCATGTAAATTTAGCTCATGACTGTGTTCCATTTGTTAAAAATGCACTAGATTATACGGTGCAAATCATGATTCCAGTCTAAGTCGAGCTGTTAGATTGCTAAATGTGGCGATAGTTTAAATCTGGTTTAGCATTTCTTTCCTTTACATGATGATTGATGTTTGTTCTAACTATTGCGTGCTTCTCGCAGGGTTCTCGGACGTGTATAATGCTTGATTTGTGAGATCTTTATATGAGTGGGGTGCATCATCCATCATTGTTCATTTTATGTTTAATATCTGGTTCGAAGCAACCTTAATTATTTTCCTCTTTTATAAGCTAATGGTGTATGTGGGATAAATTATTCTATAAGCTCTGTGAAGAGTTCTAACCAATTCTATAGTCACTGTATGTGATGCATTTTTTTAGAAAAGCCTTCACATTCCATTGTTGAACATTGGCAGTTTGGCACTAGAGAGGGATTTGACGGCTATGGTGGAAAAGAATTAGGATTAGCACCAGACAATCAACATGGAAGATATGCTTATGAACAACATATGGAGTGGCCATAATGGCGATATTCGAGCCTTTCACTGTTGAGTTCTTTTTTCCCCACTC